ATGTTCAAATTGTGCATCGGTCGTGGATTCGAAAGGATTCGAAAAAAATCATGTATATATATATATATGTATATTGTAATATACATATATATATATATATATGTGTGTGTGTGTGTGTGTGTGTGTGTGTGTGTGTGTGTGTGTGTGTGTGTGTGTGTGTGTGTGTGTTGTGTGTGTATCATTGTATTGTTGACGTGTTATTCTAAACACGTTATTTGCGATAAATATCATCACATGTCTCGGTAGTAGAAGGAAGATGCCTGCCCGGTAAGCAGGATCCAGGTTCGATTCCTGGCTGAGGTGGATTTTTTCGCAAAATAATTACGAACTTTCACGACTGGTTCGTGGTCGGGCCCCGCCATGACGCACACCCTCCTTTCTTATTTTTCGCGATGCAAGCATCTACTCTATTTTGAAAGCACTTAGTTGCTCGAAGAATTTCCTCAGCATCTAAGGATCAAATTGTTTCACTTATTCTACAAATCATTATTCCTCGTAGTCAGATATTCATGATAGAAGTCTTTTATTCTTTTCGAGAAATAATAATCAAGGACGATGAAATTTGATGATCGGGGGTGGATAATTAATCAAAATTAAAAGTGTCATCCAGCCTCAACATAACAAAGATAGACAGATCCGTTGTCTAATTAGAGATGAGAGAAGAGCGGAAATTCTTGCATCGGCAGACTTGAATCTTTATGATTCTTTAAAGGGATTCTAAAGTCTGTCCTATTTTATCGATCAAACCGATTAATTTCCCGGCACGCTAATTTCCTAATTACATTTGCAGATTTAAGAATCCTTTTCCACAATTAAAGTATACGCACCTATGTAAGTCATATCGGTCGTCATTATACGAAGAACAAAAAAAATTTAAGAAACTTCGATCTTTTTTACCGACTGTTAGTCCAATATGGAATCAAGAGCTATCAACTTGTACAAATTTGTTTCATATAAAAGTTTGGCAATACAATTTATTTGTACAAAATGAGATAAGAAGTACGAATTACATGCAGGAATAATGTAGAGTTTTTACAATTAGGCTTGAAAACGTGATATAAAAGATTAACATGCCTGAAAATTTGTTCATATGCGCATCATGTGTGTACAAAAATGTATGTATGAGTGTATGTATGTACATATTAGGTGTACAAAAAAGTTCTGAGCTTTAGATTTCATACAAGCGAAATAACAATTTAAATTTTATATATCTTCCCGCCCTTTTGCAGTTTTAAAGCGTTGACATTTGGCTTTCTAAAATGCCATACGGTTTGGCGTTTGATGCACATAACCTCAAAAATCAGTAGTGTTCACGATGGTAATAACAAAAGAGCATATTCGATTTTCCATCCACTTCGCGTTTCATCTGAAGAAAAATGCTGCTGAAGCCACTGCAATGATTTGTGCTGCGTATGGAGAGAATGCTGTAAGTCATACTATTATAAAATAAAAATGAGATAAAATTAAAAAATAAGAAAAATAAGAATAAAAATAAGAATAAAATAAGAAAATATAAGAATAACAATAAGAAAAATAAGAAGAAATAAGAAAAATAAGAATAATAAAATCAAAAGACACGAGTGGTGTCTCGATGTTCACGCGCGAAGTTCGCGTAGAACAGCGGCGAGACGTCCGTGGCTCTATTTACGCGAAACTACGGTCTACATTTTCATATCTCAGCAATGACTGCATCGATTAAGTTTCAACTATGCTTAATCAATAGCTAAGTATCAAATTATATCAGAAAAGTGTTTTTATTTTTTTTCTCCGTGTTCTACAAACTGAGATATCGCGACGCAATCGTGACGCAAAGTTCAAATTGGTAAATTTAAGAAACGTCCTGATCGTTGTCGACCGTGATTCTTCTTTTTCTGTCGCAAGAAGCGCTAATGAACGTTTCTGTATAATAGCTCTTGCAGCGCTCATTTTTTTAATTTGATATGTTTTTGACAGATGTCCTTCATGGAGTTGTACGTATTGATTAATAAAAAAGAAGATATAACGTGTGTCACATATAATAGTAACTAATATTGTAATATATAATACATTGAAGAAATAGAATAAGAAATAGAAATAGAATTAGAATCAATTTTATTTTTTTTATTACGTCTTGAAATTGAATAAACATACACATCAATAAACATAAACATAAATAAACATAAAACATACAAAAATTAAACACGGATCAAAAAAGAGTTATTAGCACTATTAAATTAAATAAATCAGTATTACGATTACATGTTAGCGGTAAAGGTGATACTGGAAAAAGTTTTCTAATTAAGACTATTAAATGTTGGACAAAACAAAATTTTAATAAAGAAACTGTTGTAGCAGCATCTATTGCAGCATTTAATATAGACGGTTTGACAATTCACAGATTGTTTCAATTACCTGTTGAACATGGTCATACTCCTAAATATAAACAATTATCTGATCATGTATTGAAAGTTTTAGCGGATTTAAATGATGTTATACTTTTTATAATAGATGAAATATCAATGATATCTAATTAAATTTTAATGTATATACATCTTTGATTATCCAAAATGACACTACTGAATGTAATGATGGTTGGTTTGGTCAAAAACAAATTCTTTTATTTGGAAATCTTTTTCAATTACCTCCTGTACACGAAGATTTTGATTTCTGTTAATTTATTGAAAGAAAAGATTGATAAATATATTGGCACTTTAGGAACTATTAATTAAATGTCTAATGGATAGACATTGATGATGCGCAAATTAACAAGAAAAAATAGCCTAGAGGAGCAAAAAATGTGTATATATTTTTTTTACAAAAGATTATTAAAAAATAATGACTGAATACTGATTTTTCTAGTATATATAAAGTATAAAAATGTTTCAAATATGCTAAATAATAGATATTATTTGTTACTAAGAAAATGAGTGATATCCTAATAAAATTATCTTTTAAAAAAGGTAAAAAATAACGCCAAGTTCACGCGCCCCTTTTCTTATTTAAAAGAAAAAATTTTATACAAACATTTCCATCTACAAAAGTGTTTTTAATAATAAATTTCATATTGGTACAAAAGTGATATGAAAAACTGACGCCAACTTCTAATTTAATAAAATAAAAAGAACTTTACATTGAAATACATTTTTTTTGTAGTACATTTTTATTTGAAAAATCGTTTCATTATTTCTATAAAAAACATGATATCAAAAATTGGCACAAACTTTTAATTATATAAAATAAAAAAGAAAAAGCAAAGGTGAAAAAAAATGTTACCAATCCAAAATTAATGTCAATTTGTAGTTAACCAAAAAAATTTTATTGAATTATTGTACTTGTGTTTATATAAAAATTCAATATAAAAGAAAATTTGATGTAGTAAAAAAAAAAACGACGTAACAAAAACTTAGGACGTGCCCGGGTCGCATTAAAACACGTACATACTTATTGTATTATATTGTACTCTTACTGTTTATCTTTTTACATTAATAATGTATTATTACTTTTCAATTATTTGTAAATAAATTTTTTATATAATTTT